CTCTCTCTCTCTCTCTTTCTTTCTTTCTTTCTTTCTTTCTTTCTTTCTTTCTTTCTTTCTTTCTTTCTTTCTTTCTCCTCTGAACATTTTGCTGATTGTGGTTAGTCTGGCCATCACATGATTTCTTTGAAAATTCCCCCTCCCCTCCATTTCCAGTAAACTGTTTGAACAGAGATGACTCAGTATGAAACCAGCTTCCCTGTAACCACAGGACTTGTTAAAGAATTTGTCAACGTGGACTGGGGTTGGGGAGGGGGAGGGGGACTCTGTGTGTGTGTGTGTGTGTGTGTGTGTGTTTCTCATATTCAACTTCAGCTTCTGTCTCTTTGGGTTAATAATTGCATCACGGGTTCCTAGGAATGACTTCCTGTCAAGGAGAGACGGATGGGCAGAATTTGTAATGAGTTAAACGATGATGAACTCTGGGGTTGGAGGATACCATAGAAGAGTCTCTCAAAAGGTTTCTTAGACCTTTGTGTGCGTGCGTGTGTGTAAACTTGCTTGTTTTTCTTTTTTTCTTCTTTCTTTTTTTGGAACGAAGCTTTGCTTTGGTCTTTGTGGGTTGCTCCTAACAAAGAATACAAAGTCCATCGGCCACGCCCTGCCAGCTTTACTTTTAAAATCTTCAGGTGTGATAGGTGAACGGTTGGGGAAATGAAATGGTTTAGCAGGTGTAGCTCCAGCTATTGGGCTTGTGGGAGTGGTGCTAAGTTTCTGGGTAAATTGTTTGTATTTATTTATTTTTTTTAATGTGAAACTTTTTTGCCCTGCCTTTCCACCTAGAGAAATCGAGGCAATAAACCAGCTGAAAGGTCTCCTAAAATAACAGTTAAAAGTATTCCTTAAATACTATTTAAAGGATGAATAGTATTCTAAATAGCATCAGAATAAAAAAATGCAGTAGCAATAAAATTATTTAACCGAATTCATAACCAGAGGCAGGTTTTCAGAACAGCAAATTATCAACCTAATAAGAAAGACACTCAGTAATTTTGAGAAGATTGGTGAATTTTGTACTAGGCTTTTGGGGTTATTGTTCTTTAATTGTTCGTTAGGTTTTAATGATGTAGCCTCTTGCACTGCAACTTGTGTGTGCTAGCTTACCTGATATGTTCTTCTAACCAAACTACAATAATTAAAAAGGCATTAGTTTATCATCTACATTTAATAATGGAAGAAAATTGGGAACCAGAGGCACTATTAAAGTTGGGATGTAGGAGAAATTTGCAACAAGAAGGGGCATGCTGGTGAATATGGAACCTGAAAACAGCCCTTCCTGTATTTTTTTTAAAGAAAGTGTGTGTCTGTATGTGTTTGAGTAAGTTTGTCCTGTCTGTTGTTTCCGATGGATAATTTCCTAGCTTCCAAAACTCTCCCTAGAGGCAAGCAATTTCCTGTCTGTGGTGCGGTTGACACACCACCTTTAGTGTTGCACGTTAGGTGTACCTAGCCAATTGAGGCTCTTCCAGTAAACCATGATTAAACAAACCGTGGCTTCCTGCAATGTTTGATTCCTGTCTGTCAAGCCATTGTTCAGAGAGTTGCTTTATTTCTGTTGACTCAGTCTGAGATTCATTTGGAGTCCAATCTCTCCAGCCAGAATGGTGATGAAGCAGCTGCAGAAGCAGTATTCAGAGTCTGGATGTATCTGTGTGGGCACGTGGGTGTGTGCTGTTGAACAATCCGCATACTGAAAGCCTGCTGGGCACACGGAATGAGTTATGCGCCTCGTTTGGATCCTGGTTTTTGAGAACTTCGTGTTGGGCATGTCTCTGGCTGTACGTAATTCCTCCCGCAGCCAAGCTTCTGTTTCTTGCTTAGTATAAAAATCCACTCCAGTTGGCTTCTGAAGTCTTTCTCAACACGCATAAACACACACGCGCGCACACACACACACACTCTTCAGATCCTCCCTCCATTGCCAGACAGGATGACTTTGTTGCTGAGATTTATTCGTCGCTTGCCAGCAGTGGCCTTACTTAAAATAGTTTGCAAGCTGGTATCACAAAGAGGGTGTTGGAAAGATGATGGGGAGGAGGTACCATGTTGGAGAAACAGGAAATGTTCCTCTGGGCTGCTCCCCTCCCCTCCCCTTCCCAGGAAAAAATCCTGTTTGGACCAACGCTTGGATTTTTCCCATCGCCCCTTTCTTGCCCTGCTCCTTCGTTTCCCTTCTTTTATTCATTGTTCTTTGTCTCTGGATAGGATTGCCTCAATGGGTGGCCACCAAGTGAACTGTCTGCATGTTGTACATTCCAGAATCCTGAGGGCATTCCTTTTGCTAAAGCAGGCCTGGGTGGATCCGTCTTAACCCTTTCACCCGTTGGGCCAAGACTGGAGCACATTGACTTGCCTGGCTTTGCCTTGTGGAGCCTCCTTCAAGGGAGTTTCTTGGCCAACTGTGCTTTCCCTGCGTCAAGAACCAACAGGCCGGGTGCTCTGAAAAGCCATC